TATGTAAAAATTTCAAATAAATATTCAATAAAGATAGAGGCATGGCCTCACTATTAATATTAAAAAAAAAAAAAATTATATATATATATTTTTTTTTTATTAATAATAGCATGCATTTATCTATTATTCTAAGGAAGTATTTCGATCCCATGAACCAAGTACACTATATATAATTCCTTACCATAACATGAGCTAGATTTCTTGTGATCTTTGTTCTTAAAATCACAACTCATATTGTCAACATACACATCTTTCATCTGTTCAGGCACCCTCAACTTCTTGACTCGTGTTCTTGTAAGTGGGTCCTTCAACTCTAACCATCAAGTTCAGCTAAGTAGAACTGTTCATGTTCTCCAATTCTTCTAACTTTATAGAGCTTGACCCAACGGTAGTCAAGCTTCCTCGACAACGAAGTGATCAATGTTGAATCATAAACTAACTCTGAGTCTTCAATGTTAATCTTCTCCTTTCAAGTGTCAACATGACTATCATGAAAGCGTTTCTACTGCTCCCTCAACTTATTCTGATTAGTCTGCACATCTTGCAATTCACTTACAAGACCCTTTATTTGCAATGCATGGTACTCCAACAACTCCTTTGTAGTCCATAACTGTTTTGATATAAAGGTCTGATATGCCTCAATGGCCAACTCGACCAGTGTGATTGTATCTCTTCCATACATTAGGCAGAAAGATGAGTACCTAAGATCCTTTACAGTTATGTTTATTGCCTATACTACCTCTCATAAATACTCATGCCAGCGATTCTGCTTTTCTGCACATACCTTTCGCAGGACCTTAGTGAGTTTTTGAACTGTCCTCTCTGTTCTGCCATTCACCTCTGGGTAATAGCTTGCAGCAAAGTTTTGATCTACACTAAGACGTACAGTTAGTTCATTCATTATACTGTTCTTGAACTTAGTGCCATGATCTGACATCAGTTCTGCAAAACACCTATATCGTGTAATTACATCATCCCAAATAAATTAGACAATATTCTTAGCATTCTTTCTCCTGAGTGCTCAAGCCCAATGTATCCAGTTAAGTCCTTTACTGCCACTACTATATGCTCGTGCCCTGCATTAGTATGGTGCATTGGCCCTATGCAATCAACATACTGCTTGTAAAAAATCCAACTTGTTGCCTCGATGTGAATAGGCTCCTTTGGAACCTTGAGTTCACATTTCTGACAAACCAAACATGACATCACATGACTCCTCACATCATTGTATAGGTTACCCAACCCCCATTCATAATTCATTGCTATTTTTCTAACACATATGTTAATTCCACGATGCCCACCCTCATTCATGATCACCTCATGATTAGCCTTTATAATTAGCCCTTTTTCTCCATCCTCAAAGATCACTCTTCTTGGCGGTTTTCTTTTCATTGCTCTTTTATATAGGTGGCTATCCAAAACACAGTACCTTCTTACTTTCGGATGCAATCATCGCAACTCTGTTTTGCCTACATGATCAGGCCAGGTAAGGGTGGTTAAATAATGGATAATCGCTTTCAAGTTATAATCCTTGTGATCTGCACTTCTCACACTCATCAGCAGATGTTCGATGTATTGCTTATCAGTTAGAGTGTGTTGTTTTGGTGCATACAGGTATCTTGAAATTCCATCTAAATTACCATGAAATTTTCCCGACCTGTAATGCACATGAAAGTCAAATGCTTGGAGAGCCAAGATCTACCACATAAGTTGTTCCTTAAGCACTGCTTTGTTAAACAACCATTCTAATGCATGATGGTCTACCCACATGTCAAAAGCAGTCCCTCTAACATATCACTCACTACTACTACAGCCAAATACCACCCCCAGACACTCCTTTTCTGTTATGGTATAATTAAGCTCATGTTGATTCAACTTTCTTGATTCAAAAGATACAGAATGCAGCTGATCTTACTCATTTTCTTTTCTAGCACCATTCCTAAAGACATCTCACAAGCATCAGTATACATTTGGTACAGTCTCTCTCCACTCTTTACCTTTTGCCAATTTGGTGCCTTTAGCATTACCTCATGCTGCAATAGTTCTTTTAGTTTTTGGAATGATGACTTCTGCTTGTTTCCCCACTTATATTCCACATTGTGTTTCGTTAAATCAGTAAGAGACTTGGCTACTCTACTAAAATTCTTTATAAATTAGTGATAATAATTCATTATTTTTAGAAACAACCGCACTTCGGTAAGACTACTAGGTCTTCACTATTTACTTATTCTCCTCACATGAGCTGGGTCGGCCTTTACTCCCATCTTACTGACTATAAACCCATACATATTCAGCTCTCTGTACAATATACGACATTTCTTGGCTGCTAGGGTCAGTCCAACTTCTTTGAACCTACCAACTAACTTTACAAACAAATAATATAATCCTTCATTGTGCCATCTGTCCATAGCTTTACATCATCTTGGTACACCACAGCAACATATTACCATTCCTCTCTATTCAACATTATATCCATCAAATGCTAGAATGTTTTACTAGCATTCTTCAATCCTATGCACATAACTGTATACTTTAGAAGCTCTATAAGAGTTGCAACAGCAACCTTGTCTCTATCCTCTTTTTGGATCTGGATCTGCCAATACCCCTTATATGCATCTACCAAAGAATACCAATCATGCCCTACTGCCTTGTTTAATATGTCACGAATTACTGGCAATGGGTAGCCATCCTTTATAATATATTTGTTTAATGGTCTTATATTCCCTACTACCCTTAGTTTATTGGTTCCTCTCTCCTTTTTATTTACTAGAAAGCAATAATATGTGTATTGTTCACTGCTCTTCTCTAAAAGCCCTTGTTTAACCATGTCATGAAGTTGTCTTTTGAACATCAGGGCTCTTTTAGGATTGTTAATGCGTATTGGACTCATTCGGGTTACTGGTATTTTTATGCCATTCATTCGCACCTCATATTCTATTAGGTTAGTCTTACCAATCTCTGAAAGATCAAAGGCAAAAGTCTCTAAAACCCTATTTATTAACTGGTCAAGAAGATATTCTCTTCATTCACTTGGAATTTCTTTATTAATATCCAATGATGTGCTATTTTCCTCAGTAAGACGCATTACTAATTCTGGGCTCCCAACATCCACTATCCTGTTCTCACTCTCACAGTTCACATCCCAATAGATTACTTGCCCATTATGTTCCTTCTCTTCAAGTCGATCATCATCTATTGGACTGATTTCTCTTGCCACTAGATGCTCTATGTTAGTTGCTCTAGCCAGTATTTCTCAATGTTTGCCTTTCACTCTTCTTATGTGAGGTTCATCAATACTTAATTTTCATACTAACATTATGCTCACTGCTCCATTATTGTCAGTTTCGTACTCCTCATTCTTTTGGCACGTCCACTCCTCAGGTACTATAGTAACTATGAAAGACACCTCCTTATATAGGGATGCCACAGTATACCAATATTCATTATTTTTCCAGTTTAGATTACATCGTGCAGCTGCTAGCCAAGGCATATCCAGTAAAACATTAAAACTTGCAGATACCATCACATAGAATCCCTGAACTATGGTAATCCCATTCATATCTATCTCAACATTTGGTATGAATTCAAGAAAATTATTAACACTATTGTCCACCATTCTCCCTTTCCCTTTAACAGCCTTTCAGATTAATCCTCTTTCTCTGGCATACTTTTCATGTACAAGATTTAGTCGTGATCCAGGATCAATAAGTGCAGCAATTATTTCACTGTTAATTCTAACCATACTCATGGGCATGTCCCTATCATGCCTCATATAGGCATCTTGTACTGCCCTTGTTATACTAACATTAGCATCTAATAATACTATATCATTCTCACTTCTCTTTTTTGTTAACACTTTCAATACCTTCATTCTAGCCTTTGGTGAGCACTTAAAAAGCTGACCCAGTGTTACAGATATTTCCATCTCAGCTATCTTCTTTAGGATGTCCAACTCTTGGCTCAAATCACTCAGAGATATGTACATCACATGGCTATAAGCATGTGGTATTACATGACTTATATTAGTTTCTTTTAAATTCCCTCTCTGATCTACTCTAACTGGTTCCAGCATTTCTTAGTCATTACTTTCATGTCTTCTTTTTCTCAGGTTCCACTGCCTTATGTCAAAAATCACTTCACCTCTTGCCATTTCTACCTTGAGACATTCTGTTCCAAGGTTTGCTGTGGTGCTCATTATTTCGAAATATTGAATCTTATATCTCTATTTTCCATATTATTATTCCTAACTTGTCTCTGCTCATTTCCTTGTTCAGGCTGACTTTGAAAATTCCTGTTCGGGCAATTTCATGAGATATAGCCTTCTCATGACAACTAAAACACCATCAGCCAGTATAACTCTGCCTATGGTGTCTAGGATTTGGCATGAAATTATGATTTCTTTCATTGAAATGGTTGGCCACTACCTGGCTGTCTATAAGTTGTTTTACCATTCTCATCATCTCTTTTATTTCTGTCTCGATCTTGTCAAGCCTACTGGCATCATTAATTTCTTGTTTCATATAGTTGATAGTTAGAGCCTCTATCATTACTGCTATACTGTCGATGTTATGATTATTTGCATGGGCTTTTTCTTCAGCTATAGGTAGACCCCTTTTATCATTCCTCTCTCTATCCCTATAAAAATTCTTGATTTGCAGTGCGGTTCATTTTGCTCTAGCAAAATCATCTGGACAGAAATTTTTTACCTTACATCGATAGTTTTCCTGCATTCTATCCAAATACCAATTCCTTTTCTCATCAGCCCTTTTACAGCATCTGCATAGGCTTCGAATCTGCTTATATAATCTTGTAATGTTTCCTTTTCTCCTTGTTTAATGTTTCTCAAACGATTTATTTTCAGCTTCTCATCATTTTCAGCATTTATCACCTTTACTATTCCCTTTTTTAACTTGTCTTAATCATTATTGTATGCTTTAATTTGTTCTCTGACCCATGCTTTAGTTTTATCAGGCATGTGCATTACTATCATTCCGCATTTCATCTCATCATCCCAGCCCTTTGACTTGGCATATCGACTATAATCGAAGAGAAATCCATTAATGTCATCCTTTTCATCCTCTTTGAAGAATGGTTTTGTCAAGTCTTTAGACATGCTGGTGCTTATGACTATCTACAGTAAGGGTTATTCTCCTTTATATATATATATATATATATATATATATATTTTTAACTTTTATGAAGAACTGTGTATATTAAGAATGAGTTGTTGTGTTTACTCTGTTGACACAGTACAAGTTTGACTTTTGTTGAAGTCATATTGGTTGATCCAAGAGTGAGATGTTCTATTCCTTGTTGCTAATATTACTTGCTTCTGTGTTCATTATACTAGGCAATCCTTTAGCTGTTGATGAGATGAATATGCATTCTGCCCAGGTTCTTGTGTCACAGATTAAACAATGACTTCCTACCACTGAACAATCTAGCCCAACAATAGGTATAACACATGTGAAACTGTCAATTATTCACCCACATGGGGGTTGGGTCCCATAGCTTACTTGTTAAGCTCTTATCCCCTCACAGACAAGGTCAACGGTTCGAGTCTGGCTGGAGGTAAAAATACTCTATAACCAAAAATGGAGCCTATA